ATGTTATTGAGAAAAGATTTTTTTGTATGTCGACCTGGGATGACATTTAAATATATCACTTGACATATAACGTTGCTCACGAGAATATATAAGGTATATAGTCTGTTGCCTTGGAGAATGACACTTAGAAAATTTCACTGTTACTTGGGTTACAGTGACGTCGGTTCCTTGCACAGTTAGTTACACGGCTTCACTGGTTCAGTTAATGGATCTATCTTTTCACTGCCACCTTTATATATAAGCTTTGGGTAGAGTTCCCTTAACTTGGCTTATATTTAAATAAGTTGAGGGGTTAAGTTATAAACCCAAAATGGTCTTTTCTCCATTTATTGGTAAAACTATATTGGTCACAGTCTATCAGTAGATGCGCCGTAATTAACACTGTAAGTTGTGAGTGTTAGTTAATGACCGGGGCTCAGCTTGACTGAGTTAGGTCATCCGTCGGATTCTCGTGAGACGCAAGTGAAGACTGGTGCCTGTGAGAGGACTCTCTGAAGAAGAGGCTGGGTTGACCCTACATTCTCAAGGTCGGCTTACTGATAGAGGAATTTCCCCTCACGTGAACAGCACATGGCACCTCACAGCTTATGTAAAATTATAGTAGAGTGATTGGATTATATAAACTAAATCTATTAACTCAAATTTATATAATTTCAATTGCCATGAGACAGGGGCTAATAAAAAACTATTGGAGACCTCTGGGGACTATGACAGACTCTGAGACTATGAGAGACTACTAGAGACAATGAGAGACTAGTGGACACTATAAGAGGCTATTAGAGACTATGAGAGACTTCTGGAGACTATAAGAGACTACTGAAGACTATAAGAGACTATTTGGGACTATGAGAGGCTACCGGGGACTATAAGAGACTACTGAAGACTATAGGAGACTCTGACACTATGAGAGACTACTAGAGACAATGAGAGACTAGTGGACACTATAAGAGGCTATTTGAGACTATGAGAGACTTCTGGAGACTATAAGAGACTACTGAAGACTATAAGAAACTACTGGAGACTATAAGAGACCACTGGAGACTATGAAAAGCTACTGGGGACTATGAGAGGCTAATGAGGGCTATAAGAGACTCTGAAACTATATGAGACTACTTGATAATATGAGAGGCTACTGGAGACTATAAGAGACTAATTGAGACTATAAGAGATTACTGGAGACTATAAAAGACTACAGTAGACTATGAGAGACTACTTGAGCCTACAAGAGACTACTGGAGAGTATGAGAGACTTTTGAATAACATAAGAGACTACTAGAAACTACAGTATAAGAGACTACTAGAGACTATGAGAGACTCTGTGAGACTCAAAGAGACTACTAGAAACTACAGTATAAGAGACTACTAGAGACTATGAGAGACTCTGTGAGACTCAAAGAGACTACTGAAGACTATACCATTCTACTGGAGACTATGAGACTCAGTGCCTTTCAGATTCTGTTCATAAGTGTCTAGTGTGTGAGTGAACATTGACCCAACCATCTGTCTTATACTCCTGAGTTTACCATATAATAGAGTCATAAGTGCCGTAGAGTGCCTGGCCGTTTAATTTCAGCTGAGCTCTTTGTCCAATTTGGCGCTCAACACCCACCTACCCAATGGCTTATCCATCCCTTCCCCTCCAGCTTTCACCTCATTTATTTTGATAGAGTGGGAGAGGGGAGGTCCTCTTCCCGCAAAAATCCAACTTCCCCCAACGCCTCTCTCATAGCCTGGGACTCACTCTCCCTTCATCAGTGAAAGAATGTTCACTACTTTTATGTTGTCTACCAGATCTTCACGTGCCGGAACTCTCCTTTGTATTATCGATAAGATCCCTAGTATTAATATGGCGTATAATCCTAACAGCGTGAAGACAACACTGCCAAGATAAAGGAGATTTCCTGCCGCTTTGAAGGACTTATTAAAAACCTGAATTCCGTCAGGTTACCTTAAAGCAAAGCTACACTCTGTAACAACAATAAGTCGACGGCTGACAGTAAAGAATAACAAACAAAACGGACGTAGCTGTCGGTAATAGAGTCTTGTGGCAACTATGTGGACGACGAAAGGTGACGAAACAATCTTAGGCTTGCTGCAGTGCCAGATAATCCTGGGGAGAACTGTGGGAACTTGTGAGCACAAGATTACAAACTTCGTAGATGCGCTCTTCAACACTCCCCTTGTTAAGCTTGGCCGGGTACACAGGGTCGGAAAATTCTCCATCCAGCGCTAACCTGATATTACAGTATAACAATGTTCTTTCTTTTCTCTCTCTCTTGCCGAGATTTGCTGTTATAGAAAGCTGAAAGAAACCAAGAAATCTGTGCTCAAGATCAGTGAAAGTCCGCCAGTACCATATTGCACAGTTTAAGAAAGCTGAGAACCAAGATAAACTTTCAGCCATAAATCTCCTGTTATGAGGAACCCATAACTGAGGTTGATCGTCCAGATGTTCCTCCCCATCACCATTCCAGGCTAAGGCGGAAAGCCACCTTGGACCTTATCCAATCTCGACCAAAGAGCTCCTCGACCTGGACCATCAATGTCAGTCAAGTACAACACCTTCATCCATACCCCCCATCAAAGTGCCTTCCCCACTCCCCTCCCTGTAGATACCAACCTTCACTAGCACCAACCATCCCTAAGCACCAACCACCCCCAGCACCAACCATCCCTAGCATCCCTTGTCATCCTAAGTGCGTTTGTTGTATCGATTTTGTGGGTACAGCACTCCCCCTCCCACATACCCGCCCTCCCCCCGCCGGTTAACTCTCCCTTACTTAACCTTCTCCTACCCAAGTGACAGAAAACTTTCGTTGTTCCATGTCAGCTCCTGTCCTCCCACACTACTCATAAACAAATATTCCCCTTGAGATCTGAAACTGTGTGTGTCGTCACCCCTTTACTGATAATGGTGACATGATTGTCCAGTGTTGATCATGATAACTTCCTACAGAGATTATTAGGTTACGTCATATCATAAATTCACCTAACCTAACCTAACTTAACCTACAGATCCCATTACGTTACGTCACATCAAAATCCAATTATTAATTTTCCAACTCTCTTGAATTCAGCTCTAGTCTCCCACTTTTAACTCCTTGTCAATAATGAGCTGAACTGTCTCGGCAGTATCCCTCCTGTTCTCAGAAATCATCCTAGACAAGAATATAAATCCAATTGGCCACAAATCTGATAAATCTGGTTCACTTGATATGCAGGACAGTTATATAGTATCTCCATTTATTCGTTATATTAAGTCTTTGTTACCTTGTACGTCAATATTCAGTTATTAGGTTCATGGAGATAGTTTTTGGTTGTGTAAGTAACGTCTCTGGGAATTGTAAAGGTGGAGTAACTAACAGAAGTCCCCACACTAAGATAATGAGCTTCCTTGATCAGGAAATCTTGCACGTTGTTGGAAATTGTAATCTTAAATATCTAAAATGTGAGAACACCTCTTTTAGTTACACCTTCATGCTACCTTCCTCCCATTGTAAGTTCTTCTTCAACATAATAACCGACCCCGCTCCTCCCAAGACGACTACCACTTCTGCCATATTTGGTCAAGTAAAACTCTAAAAATGTTACAAAGGAAATAATATATAATATATATTTAAAGATCCAAATATCACATACCAGTCTCTGTTTTGTACAATAGTTACAAAGAATTAAACACTGATAGTCACCACAGTACAAAGATTTTTATACCGACATTATTCTTAATATATTTGTTACTAGGGACCTTTCCAAAGCTTTTAATAACCTCTATGTAATTTACTGCAGTTTCTCCTCTATCTTTTATGATTGTTTTGATAATTATTTCGTTCTTAAAGTCAGGTTTATAAATAATAAATCAATCTGTGAATTACTATACACTTAAATACATAAATCAAGGTAATAACTGCGGAAAATATAAAATACACAAAACGTATACATTTGGATGAAGGAAAAAGGGCTACTAAAAAAAGAATTCAGAAGACAACAGAAATATATCGAGTCTCATTAATTCTGGCATACACAGGAAGCGTCAACCCGGAACCTCAGCCGTTAATGACTCAGTTATAACAGAATCTTCCTAAATGTCAACCACTTTAGTTCATCATCAACATCGTCCGCTGGATGATTGTGATACTTATTTGTAAAACAGCAAATTGGTTTGATCTTGCTTTCCATTACGGAAAGTGAACCGTTAGATAATAAAAATAAATATCCAAAAATGAACTGACACTGCCTCTTATTATTATAGATGTTTTATGGAGTCCAACTCATCTCAATTACCAAGTATTGTAGACAGAGATCATTGTTTGTAAATTAGCAACTTCAAGAGATGGATAATAGGCAATAAAGTGACCCGGAACCTCAAGAGAACTTATTGTAGATTTTCAACGGATTTTCGTGAGAATAAATTAACAAACGAACGGTGCAAATCCTTACTTGTTTTTAAAGTCATTAACTAAAGACCTAAAAATTAAAAACTAAAGTCCTTAACTACCTTATAAAAAATTGAGAAGTATCATTTAAGAATTCTGACCTACTGCCTTTACTAGAATGCCATGGTGCTGCTTGGAAAACATACATTAATTCTTCATGCTATTTAATATTCTCACCCAACGTATACTTTTAGCGTCAATCTTTATGTGTATACCGGAGAGCTTCTCAACGGAACTACAGCTTTCAAAGGGCTCAGCCAAATTAGTGTATCAGCACCACTGCACAATTTATGTCTGCAACGCAATTTCAGTTTCACTTTCAAAGCAGCAACACTCGCTTCTGGTAACTACGGGAGACTACAATTAGAGATTAATTCCTAAGACTCTTACGCGTGACATACAGTGAGAGTGCTCTGGGCGGAAACGACAAGGGAACAGGTAAAGCAAAACGGAAAAATATAAGCAAACAGACAAACAGAAAAATGTAGACTGGAAAATAAGAGATAGAGAATTATAGATAGAAAATAAGACAGACAGACAGACAGACAAGGGGACGAAGAGACTCACGCCTGACGGAGAGGGTGACAGGGTTGCTGATGTTGTAACCCTCGATGTTGTGGGCGCCGCAGGTGTATGATCCAGAATGTTCCCGACTGAGGCGACGCAGCACCAGCGAGAGGCCGCTCACCACCACACCAGATGTCACATTGTGCACCACTAACGCCCCCTGCAAGATGTTTAGGAAATTAAAGGGTGGAGCTAAAGAGGTTGTAAATAGGTTCTAGAGGCATAAAGGAGGATCTCGGGGGCATTAAGAGGCATTAAGAGGTATAGATAGATAGATAGATAGAAAGATAAATAGATAATGACCAGAGGGGATAATGTAAAGGAGAGGGGAAAAGAAAAAGAAAGGGAGAGGGAGAGATAGAGAAAAAAGCGAACGGGAAAGAGAAAGAAAAGGCAAACGGAAATGGATGTGAAAGAGAGAGAGATACGGAGATAACGATAGACCAAAATCAGCGAAGGTGAAGGAGAGAAGGAAAGAATGAAAGAAACAGATAACAAAAGAGATAATGAGAGAAAGGAAGAGAAAGGGAATGTAGGAAGGAGGAAAAAATGAGATATAGAGAGAGAAAAACGAGTGGAGGAAAGAGAATGAGAAACAAAAGACACACATTATCAGAGACAGACAGACAGACAAACAGAGACGAGAGACAGACAGACAGACAAACAGAGAGGAGAGACAGACAGACAGAAAGACATACAGAAACGAGAGAGAAAGCTAGACAGAAAGGAAAGAGATAGACAGACAGAGAGACAAACAGACAGACAGACAGAGAGACAGAAAGACAGACAGACAGACAGACAGACAGACAGACAGACAGACAGAAAAACATACAAAAATGAGAGAGAAAGATAGACAGAAAGGAGAGAGACAGACAGACAGACAGACAGAGAGGGGGCAGGCACTACACCAATACACCAAGCCTCGCCAGGTATGCCATCTCACTTGTGCCCATATTAAACTACGAGCCAGAGCGACCTGAGACTTAGTGATATATACTGTAGGTCACAGGTTATGTGTCTTTTCCTCTTAAACCTTGGGAAAATATGACCTTTGAAAGAATGCTAGTTATGGCTGATCCTATAATCATATATAGCTAAGATTAGAGAACTAGAGAAACATTTAAGCATATATAGCTGAGATTAGAGAACTAGAGACCCATTTAAGCAGACATAGCTGAGATTAGACAACTATAGACCCATAAAGGGCAAGTATAGCTGAGATTAGAGAACCAGAGAGCCCTTTAAGCATAGATAGCTGAGATTAGAGAACTAGAGACCCCTTTAAGCATAGATAGCTGACAGTAGAGAACTAGAGACCCCTTTAAGCATAGATAGGTGAGATTAGAGAACTAGAGACCCCTTTAAGAATACATAACTGAGATTAAAAAACTAGAAACCCCTTTAAGCATAGATAGCTGAGATTGTAGAACTAGAGACCCCTTTAAGAATACATAACTGAGATTAGTAAACTAGAAACCCCTTTAAGCATATATAGATGAGATTAGAGAACCATAGATCAGACGCACATACCTGTAATCAGTAGCTCTTACCTGGGACATAAAACTAAGACGAGAGACTTAAGCTGAGTTACGGGACTGTGACAGGGATCAATGTCAGACACAACAAACACTCAGAGAAAAAAATAAACAGATCCCCTTCATGAGTTAGTTAATGCACAAAGGCAGAACATACCATACAGAAGACTCAGATCAAGCAACAATGACCCTAAATGGATAAATAATTATTTAAAGAACATTATTGGTCAAAGGAAGGCTATAGGTAGGAGGATAAATCGTGGCGAAATTTACCTCCGGGATTAGTATAAGGTATTGGCCGGTAGGGTTAAGACGGAGATAAGGAAAGCAAAGAGGAATAATGAGCAAGGGAGGCAAACCCCAAGGGATTCTATCAAATGTATCAAACTAAAACACGAGAAAAGATTGGGCCAATACAGTCAGATACCGGCGAGCTAACTGATAACGACGGAGAAATGAGTAATAATCTGAATAAATATTTTTCAACAATTTTCACCACCGAAAATTTAAGCATGATACCCGAGGCACCGACTATTCAGAGATAGTGAAGAAAACAAATTAAGAGAGACAGTAGTGACTAGTAACGATGTTAGTAAGCAAATAGACAAACTAAAGCCTAATAAGTCACCAAGTCCAGAGGAGATATTTGCCAGAGATATTAAAGAAATGTAAGGAAGAGCTTAGTATGCCCTTAGTAAAGTTGTTTAACATGTCCTTAAAAACAGGTGCAGTACCACTATCCTCTAACTACCGTCCAATCAGTCTAACATCAATTGTAGGCAAATTACTGGAAGCAATCATTTCAAACTCTATTCGAAACCACCTGGAGAAGCACAAATTGATCAATGATTCCCAGCATGGCTTCAGAAGCGGGCGTTCATGTCTAACTAATCTATTAATATTCTTTTCATCAGTTTTCGAATCGGTGGACGAGGGGCACAATTATGATGTGGTATATCTCGATTTAAGCAAAGCCTTCGACAGAGTCTCCCACGAAAGACTAATAAGAAAGGCTAGACGGACATGGCATTATAGGTGATATTCTAAAATGGATCAAGGCGTGGTTACAGGACAGGAAACAGCGAGTGAGCATTAAAGGTACTAAATCCCATTGGAGCAACGTCACCAGTGGAGTTCCCCAAGGCTCAGTACTTGGACCATTATTATTTATTATATACATAAACGACATAGATATCGGCATAGACAGCAACACAAGTAAATTTGCTGATGACACTGAAATAGGACGTGTAATTAAATCTGATGAGGACTCCGCAAAACTACAGGAAGCTCTAAACAAATTGTTCGAATGGTCTGAAAAATGGCAGATGAAATTCAATGTGGACAAATGTAAAGTACTCAGTATAGGAGATGTAAACAGGGAAACCAGATACCAGATGAACAACGATGCCATTGTGAAATCTGACTGCGAGAGAGATTTAGGAGTAATGATAAGTAGGAATCTTAAGCCAAGTAAACAATGTGTTTTTGCTCGTAACAAGGCTAATAAAGTACTTGGGTTCATACAAGGAGTGTTAGTTACAAGACTCGAAAGGTCTTCTTAAGATTATATCTTGCGCTTGTGAAACCTCACCTAGATTAGGCACTGCCTAATCCTATAATCATATATAGCTGAGATTAGAGAACTAGAGAAACATTTAAGCATATATAGCTGAGATTAGAGAACTAGAGACCCATTTAAGCAGACATAGCTGAGATTAGACAACTATAGACCCATAAAGGGCAAGTATAGCTGAGATTAGAGAACCAGAGAGCCCTTTAAGCAGAACTGAACTGCCTAATAGGCAGTTCAGTTCTGGTCACCGTATTACAGAATGGATATAGAATCCTTGGAAGGAATCCAGAGGAGAATGACAAGACTAATCCCGGGCATTAGAAACCTTGAGTACAGAGACAGGTTAAAGCATCTTAATTTGCATTCCCTCGAGAGACGCAGAGCGAGGGGCGACATGATAGAGGTGTATAAATGGAAATCAGGGCTAAACAGAGGGAACATTACAAAGGTACTCAAACTATCCAACCAGGAGAGAACTTGTAACAATGGTTTTAAATTAGACAAATTTAGTTTTAGGCGCGAAATAGGTAAACACTGGTTTGGAAACAGAGTAGTGGATGAATGGAACAAGTTACCAAATATCATCATTAACTCAAATACGCTGGATAGCTTCAAACATAGGTTGGATGCCTATATGAGCAATAGGGGTTGGGTGTAAATGGGACTTCCCAGTATGGGCCAATAGGCCCGCTGCAGTTTCCTCCATTCTTATGTTCTTATGTTCTAAACAAATACTACAAATAACCCCCGGAAAAAACAATACAGACACACACACACACACACACACACACATAGAGACCCACCCCCACAAAAATCATGAAAAAAACTGACATATTAAAACACAGCAGAACACAGAGAAAAGTAACAATAAAGAAAGAAGAGAAAATCACAACAGAACCCGGAAATATATAAAAGAAAGCTCACATCATGGTGCCAGTCGACGCGTTGGTATGGCGGGTTGGAGACGATGGAGCACTCAAAGTATACATCATCCCCCTCCTTAATGCTTTCAGGGTCCAGCGGTCGGCCCAGGGACAGGTGAACGACAGGTGGATCTAAGGGGGAATATATATATGTTAATAATGAATCTATGGTACTGTTTTTTGGTCTCTCTCTCTCTCTCTCTCTCTCTCTCTCTCTCTCTCTCTCTCGCTATCTAAGTCCTGATTATCAGAGATGCATAAGTTAAACATATCTATTTACGATGTGACTTCTACGGTGTTTTGCTTACCCTCAAGGAGAAAGAGAGAGAGAGGGAGATAGGAGAAAGAGAGACAGAGAGGGAATGGGATTAATAAAGAGAGAGAGAGAGAGAGAGAGAGAGAGAGAGAGAGAGAGAGAGAGAGAGAGAGAGAGAGAGAGAGAGAGAGGACGCTTGATATTACTCGTGTACCCAGCCTTCAGGGAGCACTTCTCCTTGTAATACACAGCCTCATGTTAAACAAGTGAAGGCGGAGTCTTCGGGCTGATCTCCGTTGACCTCGTGGCGTTTACTCTTATTTGCTTCGACTTTGCATAAACTGCGGGATAGTTAATAACCTCCCTGAGTTTTAAAAAGTAAGAGAGAGGTGCACTTTTGTTATGACTTTCCCTGCCACTGAAATATAGCTCCTCTGAAGCTGCTCATTTGTTAGAAAGTATAAGAAAGTATTCAAAGTCTTGAGGAAGTGAGAATTAAGGTTGAAATTCTTTTGTCGTCCAGTTTTACTCCAGACACAGAAAATGAGCTTAAATATTCTGATCATTTTTTCTTCTTCATTTATGTGAAAAATTGGAAATTGACATTTAGTTAGGAAAATCCCCCGAGGTACAGCTGGCACTTTTTATGTTCTGTCGAGTCTGATGGTTTAGAAAACTCACTCAAGGTTTCATCTGAGGCCGCTTGCTACCTCAGGACTTGTGTTTATTCCATTTCATTCAGCATTTTGAAGCTTTAAACCGAGAATATGAGTAACTGATATAAATAAATGACCAAGAGAAGGAAAAATATATAGATGATGGACGAGTAACAAACGCGGAGTGTTCTCAGAAGTTAATAGCCGGAAATGGATCCCTTAACGTAGACCAATATTATTATGAATATATATAAAGTTAAATTACAGATATAACTCTGAAACATGTTGAAATAATTATATGAGGTACTTTTTCTATCAATATCTCTCTCTCTGTCCTTCCCATTCATTTTCAAGGTAAAATAACAATTCAAAACAAATTGAACAACTTTTATTCTTTTACTACTCATTTGTGGGCTTTTCGTTTAAGTTTGTTTAATCCAGTTTGTGCGTCATAAATATTCTACATTGTCTTAGAACTTTTGTCAATACAATCTATATTTTTGTCAAATGAAATACGGTATTCTTGGTTTTCTTCCCTACATGCAAGTATATCTCCCGAATCATGACCTTATCTTCTTATCCATACCACTCCCTCCAGCCCACACAATATCACCTGACACATAAATAATATACTTTGATACACACAGTATCATCTGACACACACATGCACTGCTCCTTACACTGTCACTATGTTGAAATGAACTGTAGTTTGAGCTTTTCCCCATCTAGTTATTATATGTCTTATTTGTGTCACTTATGTTACTTGTATATTATTTGTAATTCGTAACCCATTCCCCAAATACGTAACTGTATATTTTCAGCCTTCTGGCTGCCAAGCTCTTTCAATAAACCGTTAATTATTATTATTATTATTATTATTATTATTATTATTATTATCTGCCACACACACAGTATCATCTAACACACAGGGCATCATCTGATACACACACAGTATTTCCTGACACATACACAATATATTTTTATACGCACAGTATCATCAGACACACACAGTATCACGGGTGAGGTCACAGGTGACACAACAATTGATCATGACTATAATATGTTCACTCGTATACTATGTAAAGCACAAGCACAAAATATACCATGCAGAAAAATTAGGTCAAATAAGAATGAGCCAAGGTGGATGACCAGAAAACTTAAACATGACTTAAGAATAAAGAAAGGAATTATAAGAAATTAAAGGGAGGGGAGGAGCAGCTCAGAAATAGGTATAATGAACTATCTAGGAATGTTAAGAAAAATGTAAGGAAGGCAAAGAGGGACTATGAAATCAGGATAGCAAGAGAATCCAAGGCGAATCCCAAGGGATTTTTACAGGTATATAGGACAAAGGTCAAGGACAAAGTGGGGCCTTTAAACAAACTGCAGGGGTGGTCAGAAAATGGCAAATGAAATTTAACACCAGCAAGTGCAGCGTAATTAATATTGGAAGAACAAATACTGTCAATGTATACAGCCTTAACAACATCAGCCTAGAGAAGTCGACTTGTGAAAGAGACTTAGGGGTACTTTTAAGCCCGGACCTACGGTCTAGAAAACAGTGCGTTAATGTTTGGAATAAGGCAAACAGAGTATTTGGTTTTATATCTAGAAGTGTAAGTAATATGAGTGCAGAGGTCTTATTGCAACTATGTCTTGCGCTAGTCAGGCCGCACCTCGATTATGCAGTTCAGTTCTGGTGCCCTTATTATAGAATGGATATCAATTCACTGGAGTCGGTGCAGCGACGAATGACGAAAATGATTCCGTGACTTAGAAACCTTCCATATCAAGATAGGTTAGAGAAACTAAACTTGCATTCCCTAGAAAGACGAAGAGTGCTGGGAGATATGATAGAAGTACTTAAGTGGGTGAAAGGAATCAATAAAGGAGATATAGATAAAGTTCTTATAATATTCGAGCAGCATAGGACTCGTAGCAACGGATTTAAGTTGGATAAGTTTAGGTTTAGGAGGGAGATAGGAAGGCACTGGTTCACAAATAGGGTGGTGGACGAGTGGAGCAAGCTTAGCAACTTTGTAGTAAGTGATGGAACGCTGGAATGTTTTAAAAGGAGGCTAGATAGATTCATGGATGATAGAGAATGGTAGTAACTCTCGACAGGAGCTGCCATGCACAGGCCAACTGGCCTATTGCAGACTCCTTATTTTCTTATGTTCTTATGTACTTATGTTTACTTTTCTTTAATGATGGCTTTTGTTACAACCACCAATGTATGTAATACGTCATTCATGTCCAATATATATTTTCAGCCTTCGGGCTGCAGAACTTTTTGAATAAAAAGTTAATTATTATTATTATTATTATTATTATTATTATTATTATTATTATTATTATTATTATTATTATTATTATTATTATTATTATTATTATTATTATTATTATTATTATTATTATTATTATTATTATTATTTGTATTATTATAATTATTATTATTATTAGTATTATTACACACACACACACACACACACACACACACACACACACACACACACACACACACACACACACACACACACACACACACACACACAATTCGAAACCCATTCCCCAAATATGTAACTGTATATTTTCAGCCTTCTGGCTGCCAAGCTCTTTCAATAAACCGTTAATTATTATTATTATTATTACACTACTACTACTACTACTACTACTACTACTTTGCTGTCACTCTGAATCGAGTATGACGATCATCCAGCTATAATACAGTGATATGAGTTATCAGGGATGTCACCTAGGATGGTGGCTTTTGAGGTGATTAAAGAGGCCCTTACGGGACCCGCAGCGTCGTCGATATTCGTTGCACATATGGAGGGGTCCATCTAGTTTGCGAAGGGCGGTGGCAGCGTCTTTCCGGCGTTGGCGCTTGTCTGCCTCGGTTTGCAGTCGGGCTAACTCGAAAGTATTGACACCTTCTCGTGTGGTGCTCCTCCAAGAGTTAAAAATGTGGAGTAATCTACTCCCAGGTGAGGGGCTCGATTTGGCACATTTACAGGTTCTCTTAAGACTATCCTTATAGCTTTTCAATTGCCCGCCAGTGTTATGTTAACTATTCGTTAGGTGATTGTAAAGTAGCTGTTTTGGCAGTGTTCTATCGTCCATGCGGGTAACATGGCCAGTCCAACGTCGCTGTTCTTGGATAATGGTAGCCTTGATGCTCCTACAGTTGGTGTCAGCAAGACTGGCATGTGTTCTCTTGTCTTCCGAGCAAACTCGGAGGATGGAACGTAGACTACGTTAGCGAAAGTTTTCAAGTGCCCTCAGGTGCCTCCTGAATGTGACCCATGTCTCACTGCCATACAGCAGGGTGGGGAGGACCACTGCTCGATATGCATGCAGCTTTGTTGATAATTTCAGCTCCCTACAGCTGAAGACACGGTTTCGAAGTCTGCAAAATGCTTGCGATGCACATTTAATCCGCTGCTGAATCTCTTCATCGATGTCTGCGGTAGTGGACAGGTGAGACTAGAGATACCGAAAGTGGGAAACATTAGAGAGGGTAGTACCGTTAAGCTGGATGGATGGTGGAGGTGTGTCTCAACCTGGAGCAGGTTGAAAAAGAATCTGAGTCTTATGTAAATTCACCTCAAGGACGAAGTGCGCATAATATCTGCGTAGGTGTTTAGGATATACTGTAGGTCGTGTTCAATGTGAGCAACAAGGGTGAGGCCGTCTGCACACTGCAGTTCAGTAATGGAAGCTGCCGACACCTTTGTTCTTGCCTGAAGTCGTCTTAAGTTGAAAAGACGCCCCCCCCCCCTTCACCCGGTACTCGATGTCCACCCAACTGGCTAAATTGGTACTGGCACGTTTAAGGAAGGCAGCCAAGAAAATGGAAAAGAGAGTTTGTGCCAGTACACACCCTTGTTTAACACCTGTTTGGACGATTAAGAACTCAGAATAGGAGCCATTTTGCAAGAAACTGCCGTTTATGACATCTTACAGTTGCCTCACAATGGCGATGAATTTTGGTGGGCAGCCAAAACGGCTGAGGGTCCACCAGAGGGCTTCCCTGTTGACCGAGTCGAAGGCCTTGGTTAGGTTGATGAAAGCCATGTACAGGTCACGACGCTGTTCTCTGCACTTTCCCTGTATCTGTCGGGCAGCAAAGATCATGTCAGTGGTGCCACGTGATTTCGGGAGGAAGTTTTCCGCCTCAGGAAGGAGTCTGCTTAGGAGAACTTGGGCGATAATCTTGCCAGCTACGGACAGCAGCGAGATCCCACGGTAGTTACCACAGTCTGACCTTGTTCTTATAAATATTGACAATGGAAGCGTCTTTAAAAGCTTGGGGGATTTCCTCCTTTTCCCATATATTCTCCAGGAGAGAGTGGAGACGGCTGGCAAGCAGAGGTCATCCTGCTCTATACACCTCGGCTGGGATTCCATCAGGCCCTGAGGCTTTGTTATATTTAATCTGCTTGATGGCTGTAACTACCATCACCCAAGGATGGAGGATAGCTGAGGTGGGTCAGGTCTGGATGCTGAGGGTCCTGCTGGGTAGTCAGGACATCCACATCGGTGTTTCGGTTGAGCAATGAATGGTAGTGCTCTTCCAGTGCTGAACTCATCGTCTGTAATTATGAAGTTACCGTCCGATGAGCGGATTGGGTCTGCGTTTTTGTATTCCACATGCTTTATTTTTAAGCCAGTCATTCTTCAGAATGTGAAGTTCCCGCTGGGCTGCCGCTTTCTTCTTGCGGAAGGTATCAGCTTTGGTCTGAGAATGAGTGTTGTTCTGCCAGTTAGTAAAAGCAGCACGTTTATCATGGATGAGTACTTTGATTGCCGGGTCATTTTCATCAAACCAATCCTGGTGTAATCTTTTGATTTTGTCGAGGGTTTCTCGGCAGGTTTTTGTTATAACACTGTTGAGAGTATCCAATTCAGCACTGGGATTCGCGTTGTTTGCGGTTGGGTTGTTTATAAGCCCATGTTGAAAAAGGCATGACGTGAGTGATTCAGTGGGAGTTGAATCGTCTTGACACGCTCATTCATCCCAATAGGCATTTCAGTCAGCCTGTGTAGGATGCCTTGGCGGATGGCAAAGCCAACCCCATAAATGCAGTTTCTCTCCTCAGCAGGAGTACCCTTCAGAAGAAGGTATAGCCAGATCCCCGTTCTGTGAGCTGGCCCTCATCTGGGAGCCGGGACTCACTTATGGCTGCTATGTCGATGTTATATCTAGCCAGCTCTTTTGCCACAAGGGCAGTTCTTCTTTCAGAACGCTCATTTGTGTCAGTATCCAGAAGGGTCCTGATATCCCATGCAGCGACCATAAGAGGTTGTATGGTTTGTTTTTGTTTGGATCTGTGATTTTGACTGTGTTTTCGACCGCATTAGGATGACCTTACTGGGTGTGGCTTCCCAATCAGGCTGGGTTTTTATTCAGGCTATGTTTAGGGCACCTTTTCTAGCCCCCTCCCCATGTGGGATAAGTAGAGTGGCTCCTTGAAAGGGCTGCTCAATCGCACAGACAGAACCGGATTGCACTGTTGCCTAGATCCCAATGCTTAAACGATCTTCTTATCTGAGCCGCCCATTTTCAGAGTTGTGACTAGAGACTCCCGGCAGTCATCTCTGCCTGTCCCCGTCGCCACCCGTCTGTCGTCATAGGGCGTTTGGGGGTACAGTATAGAGGTTTTGATGATGATGAGAGGTATGATGAGCTGGATGATGGCTGCACGTGAGTTGATTTACGTGGTGAGGCAGGAGCGCAGGTTGCAACCACACATCTTGGCTCTCCCTTTTCCTGATCCATTGGTGCAAGTGTTGCAACGGCTGGGGAGAGGGAGAGTTGCAATGGACTGCCGAGAGCCCAGTTTGTTGAGTTTCGCCCCAGTAGCCTGTCCATGAGGCATTGCCTTCGTCTACCAGTGTAGTCGTTAGGTTTACTTGGTGGTCACCTCTTCCGCCTATACCGCCGTTGGGGGCTCTCTAAGCATGTCTGCCTGATTCGTAGCTCCACCGCAGATTTTTCGTTCGTGATATACTCCCGTAGTCTTATACCTGCCAATGTTAATCGGCAAGGCAGCACAGCAATCGCTGGTAGGCGCCATGATGTGGCAACATGCCAGTCGGCCTATGCGCCGTCCCTCTGGGGCCCACTGCTACTCCGAGTTCCCCTGCTGGTCTAACCTGGGCCCACGAGACGCTCAGTTACGTGTCTTGCCACGAGGAGGCACAGCAGGAGTCTTGATGGTGAAGAGGCTGTGTAATGGCAGGGGAAAACTTATGGAAGTTGCTTCCCTGTTCGCCACGAGGGCTAGCCAGTGGCGGTAGCTGAAAGCGAGAGGGAGCAAGCAGTGCGTTCACCTTAACACTAACATAGTGCTGCCAATTAGACGCTTTTCACCACCCTGTGTGCGACTCACACACACACACACAGTATCAACTGACACACAGCATATACGCGTCCTTTACAGCATCTTACAGTCACAGCTTCCTGTAACACAGCATCTTACAGTCACAGCTTCCCGTAACACAGCATCTTACAGTCACAGATTCCCGTATTACACCATTTATCCGTCCATCACAGCATCTTTCAGTCACAGCTTTAGGCTAAATTGATGACCGTGTTTATCGCTTCCCCAGTAACACGGTCGACACACTCTCCCTCTCCTGAAATTTATATCCTAATTTAAATCCCTCTCCCACGCTATTTTTGCAGGCTGGCCCGTGGGAAACTGCGTCTCCCAAGCAGTAGAAAAGCAATCACGAAGGAAGAAGAGAAGGAGCAACAGCAGTCGCAGGAGGAGGAAGATGGGGAGGAGGAGAAGGAGAGGGAGACGGAGGAGTTAGCTAGGAAAGAATAGGGTCGCCTGCTTTCATTTAGTGCCTTTTGTAGTGTCCAAACGTCGTGGTTGCATCACATAGGTACGAAGGAAAGAGAAGAGAAAGAGGAGAAGGAAGAGTTACAGCAAGATGAGAATGAAGTAGGTGGAGGAGAGGAAGGGGGAGGGAGAGAGAAAGGAGAGAGGAGGAAGAATAAGGTCGCTTACTTATATCGACTTCCTGTTGACGCGTCCGAAGCTTGAAGTTCCTTTCCTTCATCGACATAGAAAAGGGAGAAGGAACGCCTGACGAAGAGGAGGACGTGAAAGAGAAGGAGATGGAAGAGGAGCAGGAGGAGGAGGAGGAGGAGGAGGAGGAGGAGGAAGGAGAGAACGAGGATGAGGAAGTGGAAGAAGAGTGGAATCATCTGCTTTTATGGAGTTCTTCCTGTCGCGTTCTGTTTCCATGGGTTCAACACATTGGCACAATAAAATAATTTAGTTCAGTTAGGGTGAATCCGGTATTACATTCTCAGCTTGGGCTTCGTTTGTGGACGTTGGGTTTTGTCATGCAGTTTATTGCTCAGTATTTCTCCCTTCATCTTCCGTTTTCCTCTCTCTCTCTCTCTCTCTCTCTCTACCCTTCGCTTCCCAATTCCTTCCCTTACACCCACCAATACACCGTACAATCTCTTCCCGTTTCCCCATCTATCCATTTGCCTCTGTATCCGTCGCTCGCCTCCCCTCTCCTTCCCCTAACCTCATCGCTCCACCCCACCTTCCCCTTTCCCCACCCCTTCCTTTCCTCTTCAATCCTTCATTCGTCCTCTTCCTCTCACCCATTTCATCAAATTCTATTCTCCCTTCTCCTTTGTCTTTTTCCCCAATAGTTATTTCCGTTACACCTCTCTCTTTATCTCTCTCTTTCTTTCCTTTGCCTTACTTCCCTCTCACCTCTCTTTCGTGGCCTCCCCTTACCTTGCATACCTATTTTCTTTTCCTCCCTTCCCGCCTATCTAGTCCTCTTCCCATTACAACCTCTCCCTTCCCGTCCTTCCTCCCCTTTCTGTCCACTCCCTCCCCCCTCTTCTTCCCCTCTCCTTTCTTCCTCTTTTCTTCCCTCTCCCTTCCTCTCTTTTCTCCCCCTTCCTCTCCTCCCTCCACCTTCCTGCCCTCTCCCATCCCTCCCCCACAGGTACTCACAGAATACATTGAGCTTGACAGTATCGGTGAGGTGTTGGGCGCGGGGAAGGGCGGGGTTGGAGGCGGTGCAGGCGAGTGTGACGCCGTTGTGGGTTCTCTCCAGCTTCATCGTCAGCGTCGCCGTCGTCACGTTGCCACCAGCCTCAATCTGCAAGGAAGGGAGAGTCAATGTGGACTGTCTGGCAGGGGGAGACTCACTTAGGATGGACTCTCTGCCAGGGGGACTCATCTAGGATTGACTGTCTCTCAGGGTGACTCACTTAGGATGGACTGTCTGCCTGGATGATTCACTTAGGATGGACTCTCTGCCAGGGGACTCATCTAGGATTGACTGTCTCCCTGGGTGACTCACTTAGGATGGACTGTCTGCCTGGGTGACTCACTTAGGATGGACTCTCTGCCAGGGGACTCATCTAGGATTGACTGTCTCTCAGGGTGACTCACTTAGGATGGACTGTCTGCCTGGATGACTCACTTAGGATGGACTCTCTGCCAGGGGACTCATCTAGGATTGACTGTCTCTCAGGGTGACTCACTTAGGATGGACTGTCTGCCTGGATGATTCACTTAGGATGGACTCTCTGCCAGGGGACTCATCTAGGATTGACTGTCTCTCAGGGTGACTCACTTAGGATGGACTCTCTGCCTGGATGACTCACTTAGGATGGACTCTCTGCCAGGGGACTCATCTAGGATTGACTGTCTCCCTGGGTGACTCACTTAGGATGGACTGTCTGCCTGGGTGACTCACTTAGGGTGGACTGTCTGTCTGGATGACTCACTTAGGATGGACTCTCTGCCTGGATGACTCACTTAGGATGGACTCTCTGCCAGGGGGACTCATCTAGGATTGACTGTCTCCCTGGGTGACTCACTTAGGATGTACTGTCTGCCATGGAGACTCACCTAGGATTGACTGTCTGCCAGACAGACTCACATAGGATGGACTGTCTGCCTGGGTGACTCACTTAGGATGGACTGTCTGCCAGGGGGACGAAAGGTTAAAAGAGAGGGGAATAGGTAGAGAGACACAAGGATTAATAAAGAGGGACAAAGAATGATAGACTAAGGAAGCAATATAAGAGAGAGAGAGAGAGAGAGAGAGAGAGAGAGAGAGAGAGAGAGAGTTATGAAGAAAACACATACTCTAACATTGTCTCTCATAGCAAGGCTTCATCATCACCCCTCACTACACTTGTATGCCATTTAGCGAGCGGTCACAGGTTTTTACGCTAAACTTCCCTCATTTCCGTAGCTTTCGGCAAGATGTGAACGCAGGGGCTTCATGTGAGACAAAGTTAGCTTCCTGTCATTTGCATATGAAGTCCATTCATTCGTAGCGGTTGAGGTTATATGTCTGGGTGGCTGTGTGTGTGTTGACTTTTTCTTGTGTGTGGTGAAATGTATAGAATCGTTTCAGAAAGGAGGAATAAAGTTGTTTATCTTAAGAGGTCTCTTTCTCTCTCTCTCTCTCTCTCTCTCTCTCTCTCTCTCTCTCTCTCTCAGAATTATATAAATAAAAATCATACAAGTAATGGTCGACAAATTTCACAAGTATGTTTTGACGCACACACACACACACACACACACCGCTTCTCATAACACCACAAAGTATCTTAAAGTGTAAAGTAGGGCTTATAACTTATCACAATAGCCCGACATATATACAAACTTTTATAAGTGGCCAGATTGGAACCGGAGACGATATATCCTTTCACCAGTGTTTCAGGAAGAGATTATCAAACCTCGCTGAAAAATACTGAAGTATACTCGACCTCTAATAGATATATATATTTGTGTCGTGTAATATATTGGTGACCTGTTGAAACTAGCAAGGAGGATCTTTCTATTATTTTAAAGAAAAGAGAGAGAGAGAGAGAACGAGAGACAGAGTGAGGACAGAAAAAGAGACATACAGACAGATAGACAGACAGGAATGATACAAGAGAATTGAGTCTTTTTGAGGCGACAGAGGAGGAAGCTGAAGGAGGTAAATGTAACTGCACAAATGAATGAGAAAATAGGTTATGACGGTGAATGAGACCACAGGAAGATATATAATAGTGACTGTGACAGGAAAGAGAATTATAATGGTAGGCGTGATTAAATAGACAGACAGACAGACAGACAGACAGACAGACAGATAGACAAAGGGAAGGGGTGACGAATATTTTGAGAGCGGATGTAGTCTAAGACACACAACATTATATGAGTTATTTTTTTTAAGTGTGTGTAGTTTGAAAAAGTAAAGACCTCGAACACAGATTATCAAAAACAAGAATACACACACACACACACACACACACACACACAAACACACACACACACACATACACTTATCCTCTCCACTGTGGAATTTAGTAATCATCCAAAGACGATAAGACGCTGGAAATTTCATTTAGTGGTGAAAGTCATCCTCGTTGGAGCTGTAAGGTGGCTCGGGAGACCAATAAGGGAGTGGCAGAGTCGTTCTCAGAGGATACGTGTGTGGTGGGTTACATCTTACCCCAGCGACGGTGCTAAGCTTCCTTGATGTGTGGTCGATCACCCTTCCCAAGGTTTTAAAACACACACACACATATTTACACACACTTATACGTACTTATACACCCATATACACACTTATACACACACATATACACATATACTCAATACATACACACACTCACATATATACACACACACACACACACACATGCAAACACACATACATACACCCACATACATGCGCACGTATGTATTATACATAAGCATATATATATATATATATATATATATATATATATATATATATATATATATATATATATATATATATATATATATATATATATATACACTACTACTGTTACGACCCTAGGGAAGATCGTTACTTAAACACAAATCACTTAAGTCTTTCATATATACTGTATTAACATTTATTATTATATTCTTAATACCAAATTCGCCCAACAAAGGTCAAGTTAACAGTTCAAAACCTAAACAAGTCAATAAAATTATGAACATTTATTTACTTATTCCCACCACTACATAAGTACATAAAATAATATAATTAACAATAATAATAAGGCAAGATGTTTGGAAGTGGCTGCGTAAGGACTGAAGGTCCAACAAGATCACACAAAATCAATATTAAGCAAAACAAATCTCAAACGTCAAATGCCAACTCCCAAGACACCAGAGAGAGCGTATACTGCTTAACTTAAAGGCACCTGTCCCAAGACTGACAGAACCTGTAGGTTCACCGACGGCACCTCTCTACCGCCAAATAATGACATACTATATCCTGATTGGCCAAAACGTAAACTTTATCTAAATTACCTATTAACATTTGTTCCACTTATCTAACCTATATACAAACCTAACACAATAAAACATAATGGAATAAATATACGATGTAATAAACAAATTTAATAATTAAATGATGACTCAGTTAGTGTGGTCGAGTAATGAGCGAAACTGCTCGAGCCAACTACACACCATCCGAACCAACGCATTTCATACCAAGAACATATGGCGGACACTCATAACAACTACTACTTAGCTGTCACTCGGAATGAAGTATGACGATCATCCAGCTATGAGAGAATGATATGGGTTACTAAGGATGTCACTGTCGTTGGTGAGCTCTGGGGTGTTTACAAAGGACGATACGAGACCGACAGGGTCGTCTACAGATGTTGCACGTGTGGAGGGCTACATCTAGTGCGGGTGGGGCGGCAGCAGCGTTTTTTCGTCGTTGGCACTTGTCTGCTTCAGTATGCAGTCGGGTTAACTCGAAAGTATTGGCACCTTCTCGTTTCGTGCTCCTCCAAGCTTTACGGTGTGGAGTAATCGGTGTGGAGAAATCGCCTCCCATGTGAGGGGGTCGATTTGACACTTTTTCTGATTTGTCTCAAGACTATCTATCTATCTATCTATATCTATATATATATATATATATATATATATATATATATATATATATATTCAGTTGCCCGCCAGCATTACATTTACTATTCGTTAGGTACCTGTAAAGTAGCCGCTTTGGCAGTCTACTGTCGTCCATATTAGTAACATTCCCAGTCCAGCATAGTTGCTTATGGATAATGGTAGCATCCATGCTCCTACAGTTGGTATCAGCGAGAATACTGGCATTTGTTCTCTTGTTTCCTCAGCGAACTCGGAGGATGGAACGTAGACTAAGTTAGTGAAAGTTTTCAAGTGCCTTGAGGTGACCGTCTATATGTGAACCATATCTCGCTGCCATATAGGAAGGTGGGGAGGACCACTACTCGATATACTTGCAACTTTGTAGATTATTTCAGCTCCCTACAGCTGAAGACACGGGTACACAGTCTGCCAAAGGCTTGGGTGCACATGTGATCCGATGCTGAATCTCTTCATCGATGTCCGCGGTGGTGAACAGGTGGAAGCCGAGATACTGAAAGTGGGTAACATTACAGAGGGTAGTACCGTTAAAATGGGTAGATGGTGGAGGAGTGGGTGAACCAGGGGCAGGCTGAAAGAGAATCTGAGTCTTACGTACATTCATTCAAGGCCGAAGTGTATATACGCACCTGCAAAGGTGTTCAGGATCTCCTGTAGGTCGCGTTCAGTGTGAGTGACAAGGGTGAGGTCGTCTGCATACCGAAGTTCAATAATGGAAGCTACCGACACCTTTTTCCTGCCTAGAGTAGTCTTATTTTGAAAAGACCCTTCATCCTGAACTAGATGTCCACCCCGCCGGCTAAATTGGCCCTGCACGAGTTAGGAAGGCAGCCAAGAAAATGGAAAAGAAAGGCCATGTACAGGTCACGAAGCAGTTCTCTGCACTTTTCCTGTATCTGGCAGGCAACAAAGAAAATGTCAGTGGTGCCAGGTGATGGTCTAAAGCCACATTGATATTCTGGGAGGAATTTTCCCTCCTCAGGAAGAAATCTGTTTAGGAGGACTCGGGCGATAATCTTGCCAGTTACTGAAAGCAGCAAGATCCTGCGCAAGTTACCACAGTTTGACTGGTCTCCCTTGTTCTTATAAATATTGACGATGGAAGTGTCTTTAAGAGCTTGGGGGATTTCCTCCTTTTTCCATATATTCTCCAGGAGAGAGTGAAGACGGCTGGGAAGCAGAGGTCCTCCTGCAGGGATTCCACCAGGCCCCAAGGCT